TGGCACTGGGGTTATCTCGCCACCCTTCATACTACATGTATTAGACTCTCCATGGATTGATACAAATAAAAAAGGAATTGAGTTAAGACACTTGACCTCTGATGAGACTTAAATGGTCACTCTGATACATAGTCAATACTTTCATATGACGGTGTAAAGGATTATCAAAATAAGAAGAAGAGGAGGAGGAGAAAAAGAAGAAGAACAAGAACAAGAAGAGGTCTTTTTTTGTTAATAAAGATCATTCGTCCATCACAAACTGACAATGGCTTTTAACATCCAAGAAAGAACAGAAGTCATAAACCTTGTCAGCGATCACACATTCTAGCATGGTAAGGAGAGTAAAGTAAAAGAAAGAATAGCAAGCAGCTTGTAATGACCAGAAAAGCCACAACTCGCCACAGCAGTTTCCTTTCCCTCCTAAAGCAGTGCGCATGTCTACCTAAACATGAAGTTAGTTGGTTAAACGTTCTTGTGATTTCACTTGTGACCTTTAAACGCTGCTCTTTTTTAGAAAAATCTTCCACTTGTGGTTAGGTGGACCAATGATACTGTCAGGATTTGACTGTCTTGATTTTCTTGCTTCTCTGGCTGTCTTGGCTTCACAATAACTATGAACTTTGTTTTACTCAAAAACCTTGTTGCCACATTATTTCAAAGCTTTAGAACACTGACTGATTGGTCAAGACAGAAGATTTGCTACTCCTCTAAGTCACTCGATAGATATTTCACTTTCAGAGAAGTCTCCAAAGTATCTTTACATTTATATCTTTTCTTGGGCATCAATGTTCTGCCATCCACATACCAATTCTGAGTAGAAAATAGCTTTGCGGAGGAGTGCCATGACAATCAGACCAAGTGTCTCACCCATCTACTGCAGGCTTTCACCCTCTCAAGAACTTCAGTGCCTGGAATCTATTCTAATCCCACCAGGGGGTAAGGGGTTACAGTAACACAAAGGACCAAATTATCGTTACACTACAGATTCGAGCAATTGATCACATTCAGACTTTTCACGTGAAAGGAAATAAAAAGAACAAATCTGACCCTTCACAGTTCTTTCTTTTTTTCTTTCTTTTGTAAAGTGTTTTACGGCGTTAGTAACTGCATAAGGTCATATGAGCGTGCAGGACAAACCACACGACATATTCAGTAGGTAGGAAATTTTGAATTTTACGCGAGCGGCGGCCGAAGCCTACTCTTCTTATTGATTTTAGACCACCAAGGGATCTTTAACAAGCGCAACTTGCACTCGGGACCTCCGAGATTTTTCGCCCTTACCTGGGAAGGCTAGCTGTAGATCTTTCCACAGGGGTGTGCCTGAAAGACAGCAGTAAGAAGGAGGCAAGGAGTAGCAGTAGAAAGGCTGCAGAAAGAGTCAGGAGCCCAGAGGAAGGGGCAAAGGAGGTGAAGGGGCGGGGGCAGAAATTGGAGACGAAAGCACACAACAGAACATTGCTAGAGAGCAGGAAAAGGAGGTGAAAGTTTGAAAGGGGACAATCTTAGAGAAGCAAAATTTTCTTTTACTACCCAGATTCGAACCCAGGACTTTTGAATGAGAGGCAAACACCTTAATCTCTAGGCCACTAGAGCCCCTAGTTCAGTGACCCAAAACAAAATGAAAAAATTGAAAACACTAAAGCCAAGTCCATATACAGATAAGGAGACAAATGATTTGTATTACACAAAACCAGGAGCAAAATTCAGGGCACACAAAGTACATTCAATCATAGATTTTTGTTACTTCTTACCATACCAAAATTCAAAATACAATATATTTTTTATATATCAATTACGAAAGCAGAGGCAGCTGATCAAATCATGTGAAAACAAAAACTAATTCCACAATATTCCTACCACAATAAAAATAAGCTGAAGACACAGAAGAGAGTTCTGATTAATGACTAAATGGTACTAAACCTATTTGAAGAGAGTAATGTTTTAAACACAAATACAAAAGCAAAGCACAGGAAAAGTACATACCTACATTCTGATTCCATTTGCTCCCAGCAGAATACACATCAATGGCATTTTTATAGTAGCTCCTTGTTTTCTTTGTTATAGTTAATCAGTGCAAAATATTCCATTCATACATACATATCCTATTAAAAATAGCGTGTATTTCATTCTATTTTCATCAAATGTAGCACACCAACAAAATTACAACCGAAAATTAACCAAATTTGGTGTGATTAAAACCACCGTACAGTCAAAGATATAACAAAAGTACAAATACTAGCAGGGTCCCACCAAATCCTGGAAACTTTTTTCAGGACCCCAATTCAAGGGAAAAATAAGGCCGCTACGTGTCAAGAATGATCCCTCAAAAAGCCCATCTATCAATGATAAAAAGTCAAAATGTCTTTAAATGAATGCAAATATACATTTTGTCGTATAGTCTTCAAACAATAGATGATTATAATGCTGGGTGACTGCCAACCCAACTTCTCAATTTTCCAAGGGAGGGGCCTCTCCATTTTCCAGGGGCGTGTTACATAACAATGACAGCACGTGCTCCATTTATAGCTAATATATGTATATGTATACGTTTGTGAATACACACACACACACACACACAAACACATGTAGGTACACTATATCCAGTCAACAACATGTCAGTGTGGCACTGGGATCTTGAGTGACTTTGGCATTTCAGTCTGTTCTTACTTATAATTATTTTCCCCTCATCATATTAAATTAGCCTACATAAACTATAGGCCCTGTTAAAAAATGAATCCTGTTGTGAGCCTGCGAAAAGACCTAGAACTAGAAAATCGACCATGAATAAACAGTCTGGGTGTCGGGATTCATATAATAAACGTGAAGACGAAAACTATTGCTCAAACTCAAAGTAGAGTAATATTATCATTTATTATGGTAATAACTTGAATGGCTCAAGTAGACCTATTCAGTGCGAGAGGTGTAAGAACTGAGGGAGGGCAAGATGCTGTGACACTGAAAATCTGCCAATCTTGAACAGAAAGCTAAAATATAGATAAAAATTACAATCCCCCCATCCAATGAAACGCAAACACTTTAGTTCAATAACAAGGCATGACGGATCCCGATTCCACACAAGGCCTGCACCAACGCGCGCTTTCCTGAGAGCTCTTAATAGTAAGCTAGTTCTCAAAATTCTAAATACTAAAAAAAAAAAGTGCTTCCAAGTTAAGATTTGACCTCTAGCGTTGCCTTCCATCCCCCCCCCCCCCCCCCCCCCCGCCCTTCCCCGAGAGTATCTCATTTTTAAAAAAGCAATACCCCCCCCCTCATTCCGGAGTCCTATACTTCACAGCGCTCAGGCCGCCGGTACTCACACTCACAGGTTCATTGGCCGGTCACGATGGCGAACGTGACAAGACGCTTGTAGAACTTTCTTTTCTTTTCTTTTTTTCACAAGTGACAGCAGAGGACAAATTTTTAATATTGAATTATTTTCAAGGCACAGTGTTCGTAACGCACAACCTGCGAGTTACAAATGTAGCGTTATCTATCAGACTATTACCGGAACATTTCTGGGTGGTAACGAAAGCGAAATGTTTTGATTCTTCCCGATCGAGCCTCAGTGTCACACATACACTTCAGTCTGCCGCCATAGTGGTTCAGTTACGTTTCCTCTTCATGATTCATCAACCTTACTGTCTCGATAGCTACACTACTAATATTACACAGGCCCTATCCTTTCCCGACATACCGACCCATCACAAAATTCCCGACTCTTTCCCGACCTCCCGACCCATCTCAAAATTCCTGACTTTTTCCCGATTTCCCGACCTGGTGGGGACCCTGTACTAGGGAAAAACACACAACATAAATAAATTATGACTACAGTTTGAGCCGTGGGACAAAGGCTTCTCTGGATACTTGTAAGCATATAATATTGTTACAGGCAATTCACACACTCTGTATGTGTCAAACAGCACACACTTCACAAGCGAAAATCATAACATAATACTGAACACATTCCATGCGCCTGTGCATGAGAGAGAGAGAGAGAGAAAGAGAGAGAGAGAGAGAGAGAGAGAGAGAGAGAGAGAGAGAGAGAGAGAGAAAGAGAGAGAGAGAGACAGACAGACAGACAGACAGACAGACAGACAGACAAACAGACAAACAGACAAACAGACAAACAGACAATGAGACAGAGAGACCGAGAGACAGAAAAAGAGAGACAGAGACAGTGAGAGACAGTGAGAGAAAGTGCAGCATATAAATTCCATCTCAACTTATTTTATCTTACCTCCCACATAGTCCATGTAATATACGTAATATTCTACAGAAGGGCAAGAGACTAAAGCACACTACACAACCCAGACAGGCACATACATCAGACTCAAAAGTAACGGCTACAGTGAGGAAACAGCTGTTGTAACAAAGATCTCTAATGTGCAAGATATTCTGAGCCATAATATTTTCTTGAACAGAAGTCCACAGAAAGGTGGCTTGATAATGGCAGTAATGTATGGATGAAGTAATTATATTGCATTGCATACATTTATATAGCGCAGACCCCAACTGGAAATTAGGATCTGTGTGCTTTACAATTTACAACAGGATTTCAGAAATACACTAAACCGTTGGCATCACGAATAAACACAAAGGGGAAGTAAAGTGTACAAAAAAGGAAAGAATCTTGAGCATTCTCCATTTACTAAATAGTCACTTTTAAGTACAAGGGGGCTATCCAAAAAAATGGTGTTTTGAGAAAACTGAAGGTAAAGTTTTTAGACCCTTGTTAAGTTTCTTTAAAAGACAAAGAGAGTTTTCTCTATGACCAAACAAATATACACACCAATAAAAACAAAACTTCTCCTATAGATAGGTAGGGCAATGCCCACTTTTGGTGTAGGTCAAGATTTCTGGAAACCCCCGAAATCTGGGTTAGCCCACTTGTTCTTAAAGGTGAAAAAATTTTCACATCTCCGCACAGTTGCAAAGCTGAACGCTCTCCCTTTCAACTGATTTGCCACTCAGTCAGTTTTTTTCCAATTTAAAACATCAACTTTGTATTTTGGCATTAACATAAGCGATGAGATTTTCGGGGGAAGAATCAAAGATCTACTTTTCAGACCAACGCACGTCAAGAACCAGAGTTGAATGAAACTGTTCATGGAACAACTATTATTTTGTGTAGTCCTGGGAGAACTTCACTTGCGAGGTACATGAAAAATACTACCACCTCAGTTCAACTTGAACATAGCCTATATCACACAAGAAGTGTATTATCAACAAGTTATGATAGTAGCCCAAGTCAAACTGACCCACCATGGCATTCTTTGTAAGTTGGTTTACCATACAATGGTAAAAGTACACCACCATTTGCAAGTAGAAAAGAGAAATGTTTATGGCTGGAATCAAAGTAAAGTCATGAAATTCTGAAATGTTGGGGGGGATTCATTAAAAACTATAATATCAGAAGTTGGGCTATTATTGTGACAAGTAGTAGACCCTTTTCAAAATGAACTGTAGTAAAAACAATGTCTTAACACAAAATCAATCCCTACTTTGAGTCCCCTGGCCATATATCAGAGGGGGGGGGGGAGGGCTGATTTCATGGTTCATTCTGGTCGCAGATGTGGGTTCCCCCCTGTGTAATTTTGCCATCATCTTGAGCAGTCTACAGTATTGATAAAGCGAGCAGGCACTGTTTTGGCATATAAGAAGGCAGTGCTCACTTCAACATCATGAGGAAACAATATTAAAAAGACAGACAAAAACCCTACAATTCAGAAAACCCCCACAAAAACGGTTTAAAAAAAAAGAGAATCTTAATCCCATGGATGAGCCCACCTCTACTATCAACCATTCTCCTAACCAACAAATCAACGCATCCCCCCCTTCCCACAATCCTTTCATTCTTAGAGGTAGAACACAACTACAGCATTTCATTACTGGCCTCAAGATAAATTTTGAAAATATGGGAAACACAAAAACATCCCTACCCCCTAAAAAAAAAAAAGATGAGGATAACCACTCCAGCTTGTTCTCAATTTGTCACGCTCAACAGACACACTCTCAGAACACATCACTCCACAAGAACCATCATGACTTCCAGAAATAAGGATTCTGCTGCAGTCGCCGCTGAAAGTTCTCAAACCAGTTCTTGAGCGTACTCATCGGCACAAATGTTTCGCTATGACTCATAGCAATCTGATTGTGTGAGGCAGCAAAGGAGGAGGCGTAGTTAAAGAAGCTCTCCAACATCTTGGTGGAGAACTCGACAAAAGCTGGCACTGACGGAGCATTGGCCACGGTGGCTGGCGTCTGTTGGGCGATCTGGTCGAGCTGTTCGACGGAGATGCCGATCTGCGCCTGGTGAGACTGTTGCTGTGCCATAGCTCCGAAGTGAACTTGGTTGTTTGAACCATCCGCTACAAGGGAGGACATGGGGAAAACACAGGATTACGATGGCTGCAAGGTGGTGTGAGTGTGTGTGTGTAAGAGAGAGAGAGAGAGAGAGAGAGAGAGAAACAGAGAGAGAGAGAGAGAGAGAGAGAGATAGAGAGAGAGAGAGCAAGAGAGAGAGAGAGCAAGAGAGAGAGAGAGAGAGAGCGAGGCATGAAGGGAAAGAGTGAGAGAGAGAGAGAGAGTGAAAGAGAGTGAGAGAGAGAAGGGGGGGAGAGAGAGATGAGCCATATAAACTGAGCTGGATGCATCTAATAATTAATACCCGCGAAACATGTCTAACAGCATGTACAGTCGAGCACGCGCATAGCAAAATCAGCAGGACACAGAAATCTTTTTGCTTTGGGTATGTATTTCAAAGGAAGTAAACAAGGTTGGACAATTCGGTCAAAAATTTATAAGGATTATGCCCTTTGTGCCACACCATCCATGAGTTTTTGTTGATTAAACATTTATAGGTTTGGGATTTTGACCTCTGTTTTTTTATCCACCTCTGCTAGGAACAACCGTTTTACTTGGACTGGGAAGCCTTTTCCCCTTTTTTTGCATCGTCATGGTCAACCCATCGCAACAACTTCACATAACTTTGCAGAACACTGGCAGGCTGAGTACAGCCGTTAACACCTTTCAGTCCCACAGCCAGCAGTACAAATTACCTCATCTGGTCACCCAGCCAGGAGAGTAACTCAACAGACTTCTCGGGCCTGGCGCAGAACTGCGTCAGGTGACCGGAACGGATAATTTTCACTGTCGCATTATTGCGCCAAGTGATCGCAAAATGATAAAGAAGAAGAGCACTGGCACATTTGACGGCAATATTGAATATGTGCTTTCTGCAACCGCAGACTGCCCACATGCAACTCAAGTGTACATGCCTACTGCTGAACATCTCTGCGACATAGACATTAAACACGTCCTTGATCTACACTATTGCCCTCGACTCATACAGAGAGGTCGTTGGCCTACATGCTTACATTCAAGAGAGCCCCCACCCCCACCCACCTCTCATTACAACTACTTCTGTAAACAAATAGATCAACTCTCACTGATGCCAAATTATTTTTGCTTTGTACGAATTGTTTCCCTATGTGCTTGTGTTGACAAAAAATATATTAAGAAAATTAGTGACCTGAAAATATGTTTGCTATGTGTATGTTAAACTGTATTTACTCATCAAATTATTTTATTATCTACTGCAGTGAAAAAAATAATAACTAAATCTAAAGCCAATCAAATCAGGTTCTTTTTCAAAAGTAAAAAAAACACCTCAGGTATTAAGGGATGCTTGGAATAACTGCAAGTATGATAACATGTCCCGCATTACTTACAAGACTTTAATGATGAAATTTTGAAGATTGCACTAGGCTTCTGGTTTGAGATGTGACCCAGCATTGTCCAAACAGGACCTTCAGGACGAGGCCAGGAAAAGTAAACTGGAATAAAGAAAAAAGAGCACAAAAAAATTACTTTGTGAAACTCCTTCCATAATAAAAAAAAAAGAATCTCTACTAAACTGTAGCCTTATTTTCTCTGTAAAGACAAAATATATCAGAGCCTGCACCAGCAATCAATCTTTACTTTCACAGCCATACAGCACTAAGAGAATGTGAACACTAGAAGGTCACTTGGTGCACAGGAAGTTGAATAAAAATTGAAACTATTGTTAGCAAAGAACTTTATCAGGAAAGAGTTATAAGTGAGTTAAACACGAAAATAAAAACTAGCAAAATTCCACTCTTTGCCGCAATATGCCAATTTTTAGGGCCTCCCTGAGTTACCTCTATAAATGAGCTGTGTTAAAATAATTGGAAAGTTAATCCCTTACCTGCTCCTCCCAGTCCATCAGGAAATGGGGTCTGGCCAGTCATAAACACAACCACATGATTGATACTGTCAGCCTCCGGAATGTTGAACAGGAACTGCGTCTCACTCACAGAATGAAATTCAGTCTGCACCTGTGATGAAAAAGAAACAAACTTACTTACAGTTGTTGCAGAAAAAAGAAGAGAAATATACAGTAGAACATGACTATAACGGAACCCGCTACAGCAGTGGGACCATCCCTACAGCAGGACCTTACCGAACCCCCCCTTTTTTTCTATGTAAACTCGATTACATGTGCTCGGGTTTAGCGGGGCAAGGAAAGGCCCGAACTCAGATACAGCGAGAGCGATCGAGCGAGCTCTAGCTGAAGGAAAGGGACTTGGGGGGCTGTAGGCGGGCTTCAAACAGGCAGCCAGCGGTGTGGCGTTGTGATTGGCCAGTCCAGAGACGAGAGAGGAGGGGCAGGTGGCAGAAAGAGATGGTGCGGAGAGACGCGTTACATGAGCCACTCCAAAAGTGATGTGCTAAAGCCTAGACGCTCAGTATGAGAGCGCATAGACCATAGTTCTAGGCCTACGCTAGGCCAAAAAGTAAAAGAATAGGAGAGTCATGTAGTGTGTGATTCCCGATTCATTGAATGGCGATCATTGATGCTCATAGAAGGCATACACATGCATCCACTCACCACTTCTACAGTAGGCCTACCGGTACCTATCCTATAGATCTAAATCTAGAGAAATCTAGATCTAGATCTAGATCTAGATCTAGATTCTATCTGTAAATCTCCTATTCTTTTTCAGAGTGGCTATGCGTACGGTGTTTCATTTTATCTTGTTTTGTTTTGACCGCAGTCATTTTATCTTGTTTTGTTTTGACCGCAGTCAGATGAAAGTGAAAGACTATAAATCTAGAAATCTATATTAGATTGAAAAAAAAAGCCAACCACTCACCAATCGTCCTGATACTATTAAGCCAAACATCGCAGCATGAACATAAAGAGAATCACAATACAGAAAGTCGAAACCCTGGCTGAGGTGACCGTCGGTAACTTGGAAGGCTTTCTTCTTTTACTACTTTCTGTTCCAGAAAATCCGAGAAATTTTTGTTAGTAATCCAGAGTAGCAGGCCTTGTCTGAGCACTAAAAATATAAACTATTAAATTGGCATGTGACAAAATAAAATATAACGTATAACTTTTGAGATAGTCTAACCAAACTTTATTGGGCAACATTAAAGCACCTTTCAACATTTTTAAATTTAAGAAAAGAATAGTTTAAAAAAATAATATTTATTACTGCATCAGTTCTTTAATGATTAGTGACGTAACATAATTATATTTTTATAATGTTCAAAATGAGAAAGATAACTCTTACAACAAAAATGTCTACAGCTGGCAAGCAGAGCTTGCGGAAAATCCTTGGCCTTGTTGTTTTTAGTTCATTACTAGCACTAATAATTTTAGTTCATCCAAGTGATAGTAAGCGTGTCGGTGAAATTAATGTTGAGGCATACAGGTATACACTGAGCTTAAAGTTGTGGACATAGATCTACTTATTTTGATCTCAGTCAGCTCCACAGAGTTTGCAACTTTCGTTTTCCCTTTACTTACTACTCTACTTTCACTTTTTAGAAAATACTAGACTAGAAGTAGAAGAGTCTACATTGAAGTTGAACATGTTCAAACGACCACCTGTATTAGACAGTCACAGGGTACTAACAGCCTCCTCCCATTTTCCATCTTGCATTTGTTTCACATTATAATGATTCTGTGTAAGACAGCCACTTGTCTCTACCGTACTCTACGACTGCAAGGCAGCAAACGCACTGGCTTCACGTTCCCCACGTTTTTCAACTCTCCGTTTTGGGGAGGGAAAGTTTGAGTTGATTTCACAAATGTACTGACTTCACATTCCTTTCTCCCTCTTGATTTAAAAAAAATAAGAAGAACTTCTTTAGCAATGTCTACCCACTGCTTGTTGATGTAATTTCTGTTTGAGTAATTGTTTTGTGATTTCAAAAAGTGCAGGTCTCTTCTACACCGCTGCTATTAGTGCTTCTTCCATCTTGTCTGCTTAAATTCTGAATCAAGTTTCTCAATATATACTTAGAGATCTCTTTAGAGCCTACAAAAAGAAAGAAGTGAACAACCGAAAGAATCAAAACATGAGGATAGAGGTCAACGTGTTTACATTAATTTTTTTATTTTGTGTTTTGCGAAAATGGGGCTAAAAAGCTAAAATTTCGTACGTTATGAGGTCATTTTTATCGCAGAGTCCAAATCTGAAATCAAAAATACAATTTAATGCTATTTTGATTAAAATAAAATGAATTTCAGCTTTCTACATCATGACTGTTATTTTTAGAATTTCTGCCCCTAGACCGCAGAATGACGATTTGCAGAGAGCACTTTTACGGCAGCGGTAAAATCAAAATCATGAAGGGCAGGGGGTGAAGAAAGTGTGGGGATTGTGATGTGAAGTCGGTGCGACGCTGGATATAGGAACTGAAGAATGATTAGAATGTGAAGCCAGTGCGTTTGCAGCCTAAGTCACTAAGTGTTACTATATGGCTGACCACTTTTCTCCTTGATAATGATAGTCTGCTATACTATTAGACTTGGGCAATTTCAATTTTGACTCTGTATCATGTATTTTATAATATATATAATGTGATGTTTGAGTTTCTCTTGTATTTGTCACTGGGTGTTAGACTGGAATGTTTCTCTTCTATAAATTATCTTTCCTTGCCTAGTTCAAGCTTTTCAAATGCAGTCAAAATCACTTCTAGTGCAGGTCGATCTGCAACTGCAGGCTTACACTCTATACATATATGTCACTCTAGTAGTAGATCTAGTAGTGTAGTTACAGGACCTGTAACTGTAAGTCAACACGCACGATTTATAGAATCTCTGCCTCTTCTGTCAGGCTCTGTCTCTGAATTTTACACCATCATCAACAATATCATAATTGTCCTACCTCTCTACCAGTACCAGAATCATGCTCTCTCCCCATATAAAAAGTCATGTCATATAATTATATTATTATATCATGATGCATAGGCCTTTACCCCCCAATACTATCAGCTCCATCCCCAAACTCCCCTTCATTTACGTTAAAATTGTGTTATACTTTTTTATTGTGATCGAGCAATCATCTGTGTACAAAGGAATAATTTCCAGTTATTCTTGCTTTATTTTGGTTAAATTAATTAACAGTGAACGATCAACTTTTTCTCTCATTATCATTTATATTATGTAGAATTAAAATTATCAATTTTTGATAAAAACATCACTCAGTAATCCACTATCTCTTGTGTTCAAGTTACACAGCATTTGAAACCTGCTCTAATGACCTCCTGTCCATGACAATCATCTTTACAAACAACCACTCTTCAGTTCCCCTCTCTTGCACTTTTTCTATAAGATATTAATGTTATTTATAATGACACTGCCTATGATGACCACCTGTCTAAGTCTAAGATGACCTCTTCTGCTCAACAGTAGATGCCGCTTTGCTGTGTTCTCCATGACTGTACACTGATCTCTCTAAGGAAAGTGGAAGCGGAAAAGAAAAGAATGGGGGGAGGGATGTTCTACAGTTTAAAAGTGGGTTTAGGGAAGGAAGGAAACAGCTCCACATTCTCATGTTTCTTGAAATTTGTTGTTTGTTTTTTCAGAGAAAAAATCAAACGCATGTTCTACCATGCCTATGACGGATATCTGACCCATGCCTACCCTTATGATGAACTCCAACCTCTCACCTGCAGCGGTCATGATACCTGGGGGAGGTCAGCACATTTCTCAATAAATTTTTACCATTATCATTAACTTTTTCCAGGTGTAGTTTTTTCCGTAGTTGAAACCCTTTGGGCGTAGTTGATTTATAAACATGCGAATCAGTTTGAGAGTGTATGAAAATAAAACAAAGCAAAATAGTCTGCAAACAAGTAGATTTCATTTCTTAAAACTTTCCTGTTACATTTTAGATGTTCACTGACATTACAAAAGCAGTAAAATGGAAAGAATGGAACGTACAACCCTGTTCAAATTGCCGATATTTTGGCAGTAATGAGTATGTCCAGTTGTTTTCTCCAGAAGTTACCGATATACATTATGGATGATACATCCAGGAAGAATTTTTGAATGGTAACAGTTTTCAAAGAGTCTCTGTTCTTTCATTAGTCAGCAGTTCTCCATGATGACATGGCGGAGATGTGGGGGGACGATGAGTGGTCAGTGTATTTTATCTGGTCAGTGAAGTTTTTTAGGGGGGGGGGGGGGGGGGGT